AAATTAACTTATTTCATTTAAATATCTATATACCACATTTTCGATCTAAGAAAATAAACCTTAAATTATTATAAATGAAATGAAAAGAGCGTCTCAAAAATGGATTAGTTGAATGACTCGTTGAAATGAATTTCTAGACGTTTATGATGATGTCTATAACTGATAAATGTATACAATTAAAAAATGTCTAGGAGTGTTCAGTGAATACATTTGAAAGATGTCTAGAGTTGATAGAAGTGAGATGTTGAATCACGATTGAAACCTCATGATGAAATGAATGATAGTACTTCGTTATCAAAATCGAAATATACTTACGTATTGTTATAGGTATACTAAGATGGTCACGCATGAAGCACACTAAAAATAATAGAATATATTTTTTGTATAAATTTCGTGACACAAAAAGATACTTGCACTCATTCGAGTTCATATCTCATACTGAACTGCTCTGCTTTTCGTGGTTTTATTTTCATTTTTTTAACAATATCAATGTCTTCAAAAGGAATACCGACCCATAAAATCCGTAGTATTATGCAAAAGGCGGGTTCCTATCGCATGAATGTTGCTGAAATATTTGAGGCAAATATTTGCCACATCATTGACAATATCTGTTCCAGCAGTCAGATGCCTCGTGAATATTTGATCACTATGTTATTACCTGCTATTGGTCACTGTGTCGATGGCAGTCAAATATATAGCAACACTGGTACCGCAACGAATATTTCCTTTTTTACCACAATTATCGGATATCCAAGCGTTAATAAATCGAGTGCAACAGAAGCTATTCTCAAAGCATTAATCATCATAGAAAAATACATTGGTCTTAAATCAGAAGAAAGCCGAATTAACTGTAGTGCAACGGTTGAATCTCTTTTGACTGAATTAAAAAATACATCACCTAGATTAATACAAATATGGGATGAAGCAAGTACTCTCTTTCAATCGTTCGGTTTATACAAGCAGGGAGGAGCTGCTTATGATCGATCAATTATGTGTACTCTATACAATTCATCTTCAGTCGTTAAACGTCAAACAAAATCAGGAAATATTGTGGTAGAAAACCCAGTACTCAATATTGCTGCAGCTGCACATCCAGGTGACATATTTTCGTCTGTATCTACTGACACAGATGAGGATGGGCTTATGGCTCGATTCCTTTTTTCTGCTCCTGAACCGTATATCCCATTGTCACGCGAGATTACAAATCTTAATATTGATGAACCAAACCTTGCTCACTTGCTATACATTATACACTGTTTCAATACAATGGATCAAACTGATTTCCGACGAACAACAGATGTTGATGACAACCGTATAATATATTCATACTCTGAAGATGCAAAAAAGGTGTAGTACTAAAAATATATCTTTTTTCTTATTTCAAATAACTAACCAATGATAATTATCTAAGCAGTGAAACAATATTAGTTTTAAAAAAAAATGTTAATTTAGTATTTAAATTTAATAGAATTACCTCTACAGTACTCAATAACATATATGTACAATATAGAAAATAATATTCTTTTCGATGATAACTTTTTTCTAATTCTACTTTATTCAGGTAATAGACGAAGTATTTGATGAATATACACTTCACATACGTGCAGCGTTGGGTATCGATCAAGGCTTAGGATCTATCTTGGGAAAAGCAAAAGTACAAGTATCCAGATTAGC